CTATGCTGTGAGCAGCATATCTGAAAATGCATTGTATTGAACTACATGTACAAAAATAAGACGTTATAAAGATGGACTTGAATTTAACTTCGATATTGTCCGCACATTATAGCTGACCTGGGGAATAAGTTCTGGTTGAAAAGATCACACAAAAATAAACAGCTGACCAGTCACCCGTGTGACGTCATAGTTAGAGTCGTAAATTAAGGATTACCATTCCTCGGCCAGGAAGGAAAACTCATAAAATTATTATTTTATTTAAAAAGTCTCAAAATGAAGCTTGAAATTGAAATCTTTTCGTTCAGTAATTTTTATTTCATACATCTCACTATGATTTATTTTGAAGTCTTAGAGATGTTCTTGTAAAAAGTTGATATTTGTACCCCTTAGAAGTACAAAAATACATACTTTTTTTTAGATAAATCCATTTCCTTTAATCTAGCCTTAGATATTTAAGTACCGATGCTTATTAGAAAAATATTAAATTATAGGTGATCTGTTATGTCTTGCAATGACAGCACAAGCTTTTTACCCCAAGTATAATTTAGCAGTTGAAGTAAATAAAAGTAAAATATCGTATTAAAAACAAGCATTTTCCCGAATGCCTTTATACCAATAGTTTTTCATACTTGAATATATCTGTTGATCAGTTTTTAATGAGAAAATGCATAGTTCGTGCTTTAATTCGAGTTCCATAAAAATACATCTGAGTTTTGATAATTTTCCCTGTATATTAGAGAAATACCGACATCTTACGAACGAACGTAACTCGCCCTAACTTCCCGTATCTCGGTCGTTTTCCCGGGACCAGTTCTTGCACCTAGTTTAAAATTAATAAATCGGAAAAATTAAATATATGTGTATAATAGAACGGACAGTATTTTAATCACTTTGCAAATGATAATTTCTCTTGTCTAATTTTCTGTAATCACTTACAATGTAATAAAAAGCGGACAAATAGAAGAAAATACGCCAAAATACCTATGACGGGTTAGGAAACACATTTGTCATGCGTCAGTGGTTATACGTATACACGTATATACTAGTGTGCGCTGTGTTCATTTGGGGAAAGTTACGTTTTATAGTATGGATGAAATCTAAACTCATACCCTGTATAAATCCATGCAAAGGCAACAAGTTACTAGGTGATGCGCTTATATAGTATCTTGTATTTAAAAGTGTATACATTTATGTGTTTGTAAGAGAGAGAGAGAGCACAATGGACAGTAATTGTTGTAATGAATTATACAATGTAGCATTGTTTTCTAACGTTTCAGAAATCAACCATTAAAAATCAGAAAATAGTTGGCACTTCTCCGGAAAACGTAATTATTTTTAAAGTGGTCGCGCGTAGATGTTTGTGTACTTGGGGAGGGAGAGGGGGTCGAAGCTCAACTAATCGATTCAAATGTCCATTTCCATTACATTTAAGTAAATACATGGAATACTATGATCCATATACTACAATCCTTATAAAAGTGGAATGGGGCAATGCATGTATATGCAATAGTTTTTTTTTCCATATCGTAAAAGAAAAAGTAACTTCATAAAGAAAGAAGGGTAGGTTTTTCTTTATGTGAAATATCACTTCAATGAGCATTCATATGATAGACAGTGTCTTCTTGGATGATGTATTATGTTGCAATCTTCACTTAATTTATCTTTCGGCTGCCTTTCATGATATATGTTATATCTATAGATACGTGTATGTGGATTATAAAAGCTGCAAATTGGGTCACAGACGTAGCGTCGTTTTTTAAGGGGGGGGGGGGGGCAGCCAGAGAAAAAAATTCAACTTACCTGAAAAAAAACCTGACAAGCCCCCCTCCCCCCCAAAAAATTCTTCTTTCGGTACCATTTTTTTTTTACATACATTACTACATTAGCCTTATTTGACTGTACTGCAACAAAGGGGGGGGGGGGGGGAACAAGCCTTTCAATGAACATTTCGAACAGTAAAAAGTAATGTGTGGAAAAGGTGGGGGCAGGCCCCTCTGATGTTACATGTCTGTGGGTGGTGTATATTTATTAAATTTTCTTTGTACTCAAGCTATGTACCATTATGTCATTGTTTGTTAAGCATGCATTATTCGTCAGAATACAAAATTACAAGATACACTATATACGTGAAGGGTAACTTTGACCCCGCACTCAGAGTAATTTTGACCGAAGCTCTAAAGTACAGAGAAACAAAAAACTATAGTCGAAATTATAACTTGCGTCATCTCTAAGAAAAAAAGTCATAGATTGATTCAAGTATACTGACAAAAAGATACTGTAGTTCTCAAAATGTGAATAATTTGAAGACATCAAGTGCATGATGCTGATTCACTGAGTTGTCAAGGCATGCTTTAAATGTACCTGTACACACAGGCAAATAAAAAGAACAGACGAGTTTTCACTGATGTGTAGAAGTAGTTTCTACTGATATTTTTTCATTTTTTTAAACAGTCATGAATTCTTTCTGGTAAAAGTAATATTGCTGCAGATTTATTTATTATTCATTAGTCGAATTAGAAACATATAATTTTCGTTTTTAAAAGTGGGAGGGGTTGGGGAAGCCAGAGAAAAAAATTAACTTACAAGAAAAAATCTGACAAGCAAAAAAAAAAAAACAAAACAAAAACAAAAAAAAGGGGTGGGGGTGGGGTTTAAAGTCGAAAATCCTTTTTTCGGGGAAGGGGGGGGTTCCAACTTTTCTTGGAACAAAATTTTCTTCATACATTATCATATAAAAATTGGTTCGGTAGATAGGTAATAATTTTTTTCCAGAACATTTCAACATTCTTATTGATAGAGAAAGAAAATTCGGGAGAAAAAATTATCGTTTCCTTAGGTTAACCAAGTTTTGAGTCAGGTCATTTTTACCCAGTCGGTGAGGGCAAAGAAACAATTCTTTAAAGATGGTCTAACCTAATTTGGCTGATACCACGTGTCTGGAAATTACTTACCGAAGCAGCATTCATGTGGACAGGGGTTACTAAGGCCAATTTCTGTTCAGCTGATTTGCATTGCATTTTAATTTGTAAAAAACTGAATATTTTGAATGAAATGTGCATGAGTTTCAGTTGCAAAAACATTTTCATATATATCAAGTCAGGAATAGCTATTGATTAATTTTCTACACATATATTGTCAGAGGAGATAATTCCTTGTAATGGCTAAGAAAACTATCAAAATAAAATTAAACCCGGCTTCAATATACATGTACATATATATTTTAGTCATATCATGAATCCGTGGGAAAAAAAGCCTGTTCGTAATTTTTCGGTTGATAAGGCCTTTTCTTAGATACATATGATCCTTCGATGTAATTTTGCTCCAGTCCCCCCCCCCCTTTTTCAGCTCTTTGATTTTTCTTCATTAAATATTTCGGATTTCCAACGATCCGGCATGAGCATTACTGTAGATTCCTAAATATACGCGAAGAATAAATTATCGCGTAACTACGCGATCGAGAAGCACCACTCGCGAAATAAAATTATACTCGCTTTTATTTTTATGGAACTTTACTGTGTGTAAAATCTCTAGATAAATCACCCATTCGCGAATTATTGTTCTCGCGATTTGACGCCCTTCCGCCATTTCGCGATATTAAGTACTCGCGTAAAATGAGGAATCTACTTAAGAGACATAATTTGTTTAAAGAGACACTGTGACGGACAAACGAAAAAATTGACAGAAGTAAAATTTTTGCAAGACACATGCACATTTCATTCAATTCTTGAAAGTATTACGTTTCAGAAAATTTCAGAATCTAAAAAAACTACTTTTGTGGAAAAAAATATAAGTAAAAATAATTTTAATTTGCCCCAACACGAAAAAGAAAACTTCTAAGAAACACATGATATTGACTCACTATGTAAGTTTAAATGCGCCTCTGGTGCATCAAAATTGGCACCGTATATGATTTACATGTACAAAGTTTAGCCAGTAGCATGAACAAAAAGGACATTGTTTTATGTTGTTGTTTTTTTTTTTAACTCTCCCTCGCCCTCTTTTTCGTAAGACAGAATCCTTGACTTCATGCTTCAAAATGAGACATTTTTCATTTGCCTTTTACATGTGTATTTCCATTTTCGGAACCCCTTTGCTCGTTTAAATGTCCATTGAAATGTACTGTAGCGTCACGGTAGCGACTACGACAAGAAGTAGTTTTGAGGTATCCTGCGGGGATTTTATTTTTGGAAATCGCAATAACATTGAAGAATTTAATAATGCAAATGTGAATACAATGAACGATCCCCTGTTTTGGTTACGTTCGTTCGTAAGGTGTCGGTTATTTTCTAATATGATTAAGTATTACGCTGAACTATAAAGAAAAACCATGGGTAAATACACATTAATATTTACTTTGTGACTTCAAAGACATATTTGTGTGAATTATCAATTACTTAACAGTTGATTTTCAGAATTCGAGGATCGGACTACCTTAAGCAGACCACATAAAACGAGATGCCATGTCGCAGTAGGTGGTGGCATGATGCAGAATGGCTACAACTGCTGAGTACGTCTAAATTCGCAGCCTTCCACCACCAATAACACCAACTACAAGTAGTGGTGTTCCAATATGAGTTAAATATTTCTGAAGAGAGGCAAATCAAGCAAGCAAACATATAAAAACAATAGCTGACCACGTGAGCTTCGAAATAGTTATTGGCAGTCTACGGAAATCTTGATTCGGTTGTTTTAAGCCTCTAGAAAGCGTTACGAACCTAAAAGAATTTTCTGTTGACTATTCTAATAACTCTTAGCATGTAACTAAATGACGTTACAGACGCTAAGTTAATTGCCATATGGATTTTCGTACTCACCGTTTGAAGAATCATATGACGTTTTTATCCAAAGACAGACTCTAGTCTTTAGGGGATGTTATTTACTGTAAACAGAGAAAAAAAATAACCTCTTCTTCTTCCGAACTCGCTTTTCAATGATAAAAGTCCTCAGAATTGAAATATTGGAGATTAATTCCGATTTCAATAAGAATTTAAGAAAAAACCTTGCACCTTAGAAAAACTTTTAATACAATATTGTCAATATATATCAATTATCAACAAAGACGAAAATTTGAGTAATTTATGATTACAATGACAAAACAATAAGAATTCATCGATTTTCTATGCAGAAATATAAAAAAATAGATTGGGTAATTTGACTGAAAATATAATAAAAATATGCAAAATTAAATAAAGTAGAGCACGTCCTTAAAAGATGAGGGACCCGCCTAATGATACAATTGCATTAAAACATAAGAAGAAATGTACCCCGTTTCTGAACAAGCATTAATTGCGATGAACTGAAATTGTAAATCTTATTCACTGTAGAAAATCTAATACATCTTTTGCCTTTTGTAGTGTATTCTGTAATGTTGATTCACACACAGCTAAATTATGTCTTATATTCGATCTTTCTATATACATTTAGAGAATTCAAACATGAAACTAGAGCTAACCACAAAATTGGAAATTGGAGTTAAGATGAGGACAAGGTAAAAAGAAAAGCTCTGGTCAAGAAATTTTGACAGTTTAATTAATATAACATGTGACAATATCTATAGTTGTTTCTGAATGTTAAATTGGACGTGCATGGAGCTAACGGGGGGGGGGGGGGGGGGGGGGGGGTTAGGATTTTCGGATGAGAGAATGCATGTTTAGTTTTGGGGTTTTTTTGCATGATAAAAAAAAAATAATTCTGAGTGGGATTTTTTTGAAGTGGTAGTGCCCCCTCCCCAACCTCCGAAAAAATTCCTGGATCCCCGCATGTTTGACCTTGTCGACAGTCTGGAGACATGAATAACAAACAATATGACCACGCCGATATATAAATTTCTGGCGGGACATCACAAAGGTAAATGGATTTCACTAGAAGGTGGGTGTACATGTATACATAACAGTGATAGGTGGGGGGTATACAGATTAACGACGGAAACACCTAGGAAATCACAGAGGTGGTGAGTACTAGGTGTCAAAAAGAATAAATTTTAGTTCCATAGGAACAACAATGGCAGAGATAACTCGGTCTATATGGATTCTTGAACTGTAATTGGAAATGAATTGAGAGAGAGTGAGAGTGAGAGAGTCAGTAGACAACGAGTCAAGGGTATTAATGCGAAAAATGAAATAAATGTACATCAATAGTAAAGGTACTTAGCATAAATTATAAATAAAGAGTATAGCCATTGTAACAATTATATTATATCATCACTCAACACTATAACTTTTCTTTATGTTTATCACAATAACGCTCAAAGTTGGTGTAAGATTGAGAACTTAAATTAAGGTATGTCACTCGTGAAATAAGTTATATCAAGGGTTTTGAGAAGTATATTTTAGATAAGTACTCATATAGCATGATTCAAAATCGCAAAGAAAATTGGGGGTCAGTGTGCATCTTACTGAGCAACGGTACAATTAACTTGACCTTTTTGCACTTAAATTGTAACCCTTAGGTTAATCACTTTAATCTTTATCATATTTTATCGGATGTAATCATGGCAATAAATATAAATTTATTTTACGTAAAATAGTTTTAATAATATGTATCATTGAAAAAAATCATGCAATTGAAATTAATCCGCGTAAATTATTGTGTGACCTTTATTGCACTAAAAAGTATCATATTTGGGGTATTAAAAATCTAAATAGGCAATGAAATATATTCTTGTGTCAAGCCTTTTATGAATTTAGTGCTGATCGGTTGGAAGTACCGTGTAGTTCAAAATATTGAAAGAAAAAGTTGAGTCAGTGATGTAAATTTTGAGATAGTTGTCAATATATGCGATTTTCAGGCAAAAAACAGTGCATCTTTTATCTAGATTTCTTTAATTTATTTTCCTTTCTTGGCAAAGTCTGTTGAATGAATGCGTAAAATCTGTTCTAAAAATATACATTGGCACTTATATTTAATTTTCCTAGCAAATAACAACGGAAAATTTTTTCTGAGTAAAAATATTTTGGGTTATAGTTCAAAGATATTACATGTAACAAATGTGTAGATCTGAAGAATTTTCTTCTAAATATCCTTCCACCACAAGAAATAGTCCCCCATAAATCTTGTTTCTTTATGACTTTGTGAGCAGTTTTTAAATTAAATATTGTTTAATTTGCATTGTTTAATTCAAATATATTATAAAAATATAATCAAAATGACTAGTTTTCAAGTTAGAGGTTCTGACCGAACTTTCCAAAAAGTTGATGAGTGACATACCGTGAGAGAATTAATACATTTTGTTCTGCTCAATTTCAAAATAATATATGTGACTCGCAGAAGAGAAGTGCATATTTGTAGTCTATTAGAGATTGGTCACATGTATAGGAAGAGTATATATTAATATTGTATTTGGGCATAAATAATGCGAGGAATTACAATCATATACATGTATTAAATAATTACATCTTAGGGAAATGTCTGTTTTCTTTACAATATTTTATCACCATTGCAAATGGCCAAATAATGAATAGAAATGCGACAACAAAGTCAGATGGATGAGTCCTATAGATAATCTACATAATTATGCAATTATAATTATTTTTTCAGAAAAAAATCCAATTTTAAAAAAGGCATAAAAATACAATAAAATATGTGTATGAGGATTTCTCACATGTATATTATTAACTATACAGGTCATATAAAATGGTCCACATTGTGAACAAATAAGAAAATCATTCTCAATATGAGAAACTATCAAAGTGAAAATGTTAACTACATCACACTTTACTTAATATTCACCATAGATGCCTGTTTCTTACTTATATAATAGTATTAATGTCTATAAAAAATAAGTCATGGACATTGTTTTTTAAAAAAAACTAAGCAGTTGTACATACATACATTCGTGTATTACTGTGAAAAATTAGTAAGATAAAGTAAACCATCAAATATACATCGTTTACGCATTTCTTTCAAAACAATAAGTCACTCATTTCCATATGTACAATAAGTTCATCCATACATACATTTTTTTCATCAAGTAATCAAAATATCACAAATAGAAATAAATCTAATAAACATAAATTCACATTTCTTTAATCAAATATCAAAATCCAACATTTATTTTAACTTCGGGATCGAGATTCATTTGTCTTCCACACTTTCGTAGTCATTTTCTTCCGGTTCCCATAAGAACTTATCATCTTCTAAAATGTCTGCCAATTCTTGATTGTAAGGTTCATAAAATTCGTTTAGCAGCCTTCTGGTTTCGTTCAACATGGCACCGACATTGCGGTCTGACTTCTTTCGTTTGTTCGCTGTTTTCATCTTTGCTATTGATCGCATAGCTTCCCCATCTAGGATTCCTGTTTAAATTAAAAAAAAAAAATCATTGTCAAACATTTCATTCGTCTACCCGACGTTTGTAATTACCGATACACTGACCCTCTGAAAAGAAAGATAACTTTCATTGGGTAAATGAATATTATTCCTTCAAAATTTAGAACGAGACTAAATTGTCAAGTTAAGGAAGCTCTACATACTGTTTACAAAAGAGTTCCAATTACACGGTCGTTTTATGCATTTAGAGTAATCTGCCCTTTGATGCAAGATAAAATTAACGGAAGTCTACAATAAATGACTCAATCTAAAATAGAATTAAAATGCTCTACACATTACATTAGACCTAGATAAAGTAAATGAATGCATTATTTTCATGTACAGTGTATAAATTTGATTTCTTCACGAAAATCTTTTGAGCGTTAAAGCAAAATTTTATGACTGAACAGAGGGATAACGAACCGTAATTACTGTCTAACTCTAACTAGAGAAGTCTGTACTTACTGACGTTCAAAAATTTATAGATTTTATTGAGTGTCTTCCTGGGATGTTTGGCGTAGTCCTCCAAGGAGATCATTAAGATTTGTTCAGCAGGAAATATTCTGAGCCAGTCTTTGATATACACAGAGTACATACCCAGACGTAGTCTAACCTGCGATAAAGGAAATAAAAATAGTCTTAAAATGGCAATGATAACATTACCTAGCCCTCATAAAGCTAAACACGATTCGTAAAGGAATTTGTCCGCCATATTTCTTTATTCTGTCGTTATACCTGAGACCCCTATATATAAGCCCTTCGATTAGCCAGGGTTCAGTGTAATTTAGTTTTCACCTGTATAGACGGACGTATGCTAAATAGCTATAGTAAAACCAGGGGCGTAGCATCCATTTTGGCAATGAGGCAGTTGCCTCACTAGATTTTTCACTACCACCACCCCTTCCCATAATCAACAATACATTGCAGATAATACGTAAAATTAATGGCATTTCTTTCAACATTTTAAGCAGTTCTATAATGTTGAATTGAAGTTTTAAAGAATAAGAGCAAAGTTTAATAAGATGCGATTTCAACTTTAAATGTTTCAAAAGTTATAGTAAACATTTATTAACTCTTTTACATTCTTTCACAATACGTAGTATCATGCTAAGTCTTGAATAAAGAAACCAGTACAACAAATGAAATTTCATTGCATTTTAAAACCCCCAACTCCATTTTCTAACTGTCGGAGTGCCCCCCCTTCCCATGACACCACCCGGAACCTTCTGGGGGCTTAAGGCGGCCCCAGACCTCTTGCTGCTACATGTATGGTTTTGCCTCACTAGAAGTTAAAGTCAAGCTACTCCCCTGAAAACACTCGGTAGCGACAAAAGTAACTGTGTGCTTCTTCTGCAGCAGGAGATAAATTACCAAAGAAACTTACAACACTCGCACAGGTCAGTGCAGTATACAAACAAACAAAAATACACGTTAACTGCAATAAAATGTAAATAAAGATAACCAGCACGAACATGTGTAGTCTCTTCCACGCAGGTACCCGTGACAGAGAAGCAGTCAGGTTTAACGAATGCAAAGGATATACCCTAGTGCTGATAACTGTGATAGGAAAGGTAATATGGCGTTTGCCTATTTACGAGTCGTATTCAGCTTTAAGGTTATATGTATCGTAAAGTTAAAAAGTTAACACAGACCCTGGACAGATAGGCTATGGTCCTGTTGTATACACAATATCTGACGGAATGCCGTTCTGTACAGTTCTGGTAAACCCCAACAGCGTACGTCACGGCTCTGTGAAAGTCTTCCGCTGATTTGTTGGTTTTGGTGAAGTAAAGATAGTCGGAATACAACCTGAAAATGATTGTTTACTAGTATTACAACCCTACATTTATATACATGTAGTTTTGACGTTTGGGATATAAATTCTGAAGAAATAAAATGAGTATCTGAGAGTAGGATTTTACACAAACAGAGGATATTTGATCAATAAGGAACATCACAATACAGAAATCGAAAAGAAAAGTTTCTCGTTGTTTCTTAAAATTTTAATTGTTCGATTTTGCAACAACAATTTATTAACTCGGACAAATATTCCAATTTAATGAAATAACCAGAAATTTTTACAGATATTCAGTTATCGCAAGGAATTGCGAAGACCGTTAAGAAATGCCAATAAATTCATGATCGAAAAAAATGTCCCTGAAAAGTACCATTTATCTTTGCTCGAAACAGTAATTAACGGTTTAATTATTCCCAAAAGGAAAAGCCCCTGTGTACTTCCGTTTCAAAAGTGAACAAAATTCTTGCGCATAAGGAGAAATCGCACGTTTATACTTCATGGCAATTGCAAAACTACATGTATAAATTTGCATTGTATTAAAAAGTTTATTTTAGTAGAAGAAAATTTTGACCCAATCGCAACTTTGAATTTTCGGGCCTTTCTTACGAGCGGAAAAATAACCTCAAATGTCCATGACAACCCCCTCCCCCCTTTTTCATAAACATTGAAACTCTCATATCTGTACCTGAGTCTGGAGCTTAACTTCAATGAATGTACCTAAAATAGACTACTTTAATTAATAGGAAGCGATTCCATATTGTGTAAACCTTTAACATAAGGTGTAAATACATTTGAGGTGTTTTTTCCCGAGCTTCCCGGAAAGACCCGAGAAGATGTGATTACATTTTGTCCCTGCCCTTTTCCTACGTCGTCAATTCATCTGAAATTCATCTGCAGAAGTGACCTCGGTGTGTTATATGGTAAACGTTTTGATAAACTGAACTATATGTTGCAAATTCATAGTTTTGTAAATTTGGAAAATACAAATATAATATTTATTTCAAAACAAATATTTCTTCGAAGTTTTACTGAAAATGTTCAAGCCTTTTAGCCAAGCGGAACATGCTAAGTGCAGTATGATGCCGATTGAGTAATTTTCCGGCAACATAAAAAAATGTGATGAATAAAACAGGACACATGATAAATGATTGATGAGGCTTAAATTTCTAGAGATACATTTAGGGCGAATTTGTTTCTCAAAAACTGGTTTTAGTTTTGAACCAGTTTTGTAAACTGTTCATTTGTTCCACAAACTGGTTTTAAACTAGTTTAAACCCAGAACCGGTTTTCTATTTGTTTCTGCAGTAACTGAAACCAGTTCGTTAAACCAACCAAACCACCTCCGATGGTGGTTTATTCGGTTTACGAAAGAGCGGGAAGTATTCCAGTATGGCGGTGATGAAAGGTGGTGACTATTTTAATAAAGAAAAAAGTTATAAATGATTGTTTTTTCAAGGACAAACAACTCTTTTTGACTTTAATGCCACATTCTGATGTTTTATAGAAGGCTTCAGAGAATAGATAAATGCTGCATGGTGTTTGTTCAATGATAATGAACAGAAAATGTTAAATTTTCCTTTTCAAAAATGTTTTGAATCATTTGGACAAACTTTAACATGTATGGTAAATTGTAGAACTTACTGTAAAGACGGTTTTATTGTTGGAAATCTAAAGAGTAGTATTATAAATACCTGAGTTTTTATATTTCCATGTGTTAAAAATGTGGAAATTGATCATTTGATGAATCTTTGAGGCATTATAAATATAAATACTGCATTTTAAGTAAGATAAACAAGGAACAAAAAACTATAATTTCTTGGATTCTTTTATAAAGAAAAAGATTTTAACTTTATTTGCATGTGTAATTTGGTTAATATGTTCTAGCTCTTCATATTAAGGTTCCTACATTGTAAATGCATATGAAAAACGTCATAAAATTCTTGCTATTCTATCTCTTTTTTTCATCAGCAGCATTATTTCTGCTTTAAATTTCCAATTAACAATTAACATGATTAATATTAATATAATTAATCATGCATGCATCTTTTAGATGCCATCTTGTATAAACTGTTCATTTGTTTTACCAAGGTAAACCGGATCGAAACATAACCAGTTTAAAAACTAGTTTTAAACCTTAAACCAAAACCTGAACTAGTTTAGATGCAACAAATTCGCCCTTAGGTTGGTACATTGAATCTGTTTATATTGAATGGTGGCAAAAAAAAAAGAAATTTATTTAAATGTCTTTTCTGTATATTATGCATCAGTCGCACTATTTCCTAGCTAAATCAGTCTTCCGTGAATACTGGAAATTAATTCCTCGGGCATTAAAATTTGCTGTACAATAAAAAATAAAATTTTCCGAACATATTAGGGAAGTTATAGAGAGAATCTTACTCCGCGGAATATGGAGTTACATATATCTTATATTATTAATGTTCTAGGGAAAGTTTTTATTACAGAAACAAGTGCCAGTGTATCAGAGGCGTGGTTACCTGTCTGTGTGTGAGAGGTGTGGTTACCTGTCTTTGGGGTGTCTGTGTGTCAGAGGTGTGGTTACCTGTCTGAATGTCAGATGTGTGGTTACCTGTCTGTGTGTCAGAGGTAAGGTTACCTGGCTGAATGTCAGAGGTGTGGTTACCTGTCTGAATGTCAGAGGTGTGGTTATCTGTCTGTGTGTCAGAGGTGTGGTTATCTGTCTGTGTGTCAGAGGTGTGGTTACCTGTCTGTGTGTCAGAGGTGTGGTTATCTGTCTGTGTGTCAGAGGAGTGGTTATCTGTCTGTGTGTCAGTGGTGTGGTTATCTGTCTGTGTGTCAGAGGTGTGGTTACCTGACTGTGTGTCAGAGGTGTGGTTATCTGTCTGTGTGTCAGAGGTGTGATTACCTGTCTGTGTGTCAGAGGTGTGGTTACCTGACTGTGTGTCAGAGGTGTGGTTATCTGTCCGTATGTCAGAGGTGTGGTTTCCTGTCTGTGTGTCAGATGTGTGGTTACCTGTCTGTGGGATTCCGGACACAGATGATAATTTTAGCCTTCGGTATCACGTGATGTATGTAGTCAGCGCTGGTGTATCTAGGCTCCGTGGCACCTTGGTTTTCTCTGAAGTGGAACCAGTCGTCGTTCTCCCAAAGTATTGACGCACTTGCCTCCCCTAAAAAAAGGGATAAGAATCGCCATTGTTTCAGAATTCTAGTCAGTATCAAAAATTTAAAATTATAGACGTTGAGCTGAGGGTTACGTAAAGAACGGTTTATTTTTCTCATCCATCATTATTTCGCTAGTCAAGGTTTTTCAGCCTGCTATGTTCTCTTTATCGGATTAAAAAGTCATGGTTTGCGAAAATGGCGTCCATTCTTAACACCGGATTTAGGGCCGACTTTTACAAACTTAAAAAAAATATCCTGTTAAATAGAATCTAAGTATTAGCTTCACCGATGATAGACCATCAAAAGAGACCCCCAAAAGGTTCTGATGACCTCCAAGTCGAGTATTTTCAGTAATTTGTTGGAAAGGCCCCTCTACTTCACAATGAAGTTTATAATGAAGTTTATATTGTTGTATTTAAGGTCATATGCACAATATGCTTAATATTTTTAGTTGCTGAAAAGAAGTTTATGCTGTGATTTTATATCATATATTTCCACTGTTGTTCACCATTAATCAAATTATTGAGGGATTAAACAATAATCGGAATTAAATTATTTTTTCCGAGTTTCCCCTTGGGGGGGGGGGGGGGTAAGTGCAAAGTTTTGCTTACGTCCATAAAGTGATGCTTTGCATGGAACACGTGTGAATTTTTGACCCCCCAGTAGTTTACGAACTTGGTTTTACTATCTCACGTTCCTTCAACAAATCGGAATCATAACAAGTAGGTTTTCCGGAATAAAAGTCTCTCCAGTTCCTCCTTTTACAGTACTCCTATTGCGCGTGTTATCACTTCAATGCAGTGTACAAGGAAAAAAAATTGTTTACTCATTTCTGTACCTCAATTCAACCCACGATCACCTTGTAATTTATCTACTTTAGTGCAGAATAAAGCCCATTTGATGCCATTTTACATTTTGTAAAGTTTTACCTAAATGACTTACATATAGTGTTTATATATAAAGCATTCAGGAAAACTTGAACTTTGATAGACATCAGTACCAACACATATGAACAACTGGTTCGTGCAGAAAATATTCAAGAGCAGAAATTGATCGTAAATACCGAGAAATTAACATATGATTTTCAATACCTTAAATTTTTTTGGGAGGACATATTAAGTGCTGTTGGGAAGGTCTCAGGATATACAATTTCACCAACTCTGACGTCAACAGAGTAATGAAAATTGGTAAAACAAACCTCAATATGACAGCGAGAGATAGATTTCACTTCATTTTTTAACTCCTATCCTGTGTAAATTTTGAATTTACTGGTCGGAGGTAAAATAAAAATGTAAAATTCATAAAAGTTATAGTCTTGTAAATTCAAAATTCACAAAATGATACTCCGATCAGTTGAAGAATTGATAAATCAGTGATTGGTTTAGATTATACTGGAGCATTTCCTATATTCGAACCTGTTATGGTGTGATGATATTGAACTTCCGGATTTTCAACTTCCGGATCACGTGCATATCGTCTCTCAATGTGAAAAGCTGCCATGTCGAACATGTCTATGTAGTCAGAAAGGGGGATTATATCAGTATAGTTGAGTCGACGACCTTAAAAAAAGAAGAAACAAATTTGAATTGTGTTGATTTTCCTTACTCTTTCCTGAATTCTGAATCTTTGAGGATAGTGACGTGCAAATAATATTACATCACAGGCGCTTGACGTTTTTAACCTTTCTTTCCATAAATTAAAAAAAACCCATACTATAGTATGGGGGATTTTTTATTTATGGAAAGAAAGGTTAAAAACGTCAAGCGCCTGTGTATTACATGGTTAGTCTTTACTTATCTGGGTCTTTCATATCCTACACTCTTATCTGCTAAAGCTTTAAATGCAATGTTTCTTTACAATTTTAAGATCTAAAGTTTGCTTTTCAATATTGAATATTGTTCAAAGTCTTTATGTAATGTACCCTGTCGATTTCGAGACCACCAGTGAAGTTCTTTGATTGGAGGGTTGATGACGTCAGGATGCCGGACAATTTTCCGATACACATCGGTCGTGCCACATTTAGGCTGTCCCACGATTAGAAAGTATGGTAGACAGCGCAGACGTCGTGCAGGCCTATCTTTGGCGATACGAATAGCCCATTCCTTGATGAGTTCGGTCATGGTCGTTCGAATGTTTCGAGAGATGACGGAATATTTGTTGAATTGGTAAACGTTTGCTTCATGTAGATCTTCATACCAGCACGGATTTTTAAAGTTTGGAAGAAAACTGGGTTTTTCCTAAAACAAATAAGGGTTTCTTTTAGTCTACCTGTAATCTATCAAATAACAGCTTTACAACTTCACTCCTACTGAATATCAGAATTCAATAATGGTCACTCCCGTTTTCTTTTATCGCGCCAAACCCATTTATTCTAATTTGAGTAAAAGAATTACACGAATTGTTAAATCAATAATCCCAATTACTTCTTTTTTCTGTTTTCATGCAATATTATACAGAAACCCCCAACTTGTCCAAATAAAAAAAATCGAGTAGAAAGTGTTTCTGATTGAGTATGAACTTCCACCCCAAGAAAAATTCCTGCATCCGCCCTTGGAAACCCGTTCTCCCTATACTCACGCTATGTAAGATATCCAGTTGAGGGTGGCTCCATATCTCTCTCTTGTCCGTCACGTTCCACGAACTCCAGTTCCCAACGGTATAATTACCAAAATAATTCTCATACACCCCATGATCGTTTAGAAGGTGGATCATCGACAGGTGTCCGTTGTTAGAAGACTTGTCAACATTCCTGTTTAGTCCGCCATGGCCCAAAATCCGGAAAACGGAGAACAGCATGCAAAGGGAAAAAGTAAGGAATACAAATAGATGGAACCCGGTCCGCCTCACCCGGATCCGCCCCAACCATGATCTAACACACAGGCGTAACTGTGACGTCAGTCCATCTAACATAATACTGAAGATTTTTTCCTTTTTCTCATCCTCTGTAGAGTAGCATTAATGTCTGAAGAGACCGAGTTTCTAAAAAAAAAAATAATAAAATAGATATGGCATTAGCGTTCAAAGATATAATTTAAAATTCTTCAAATGAATGTTAATATATTTCGCACTATTTAGAAGTATTCATGACATGCACAAATGTACAAAATTTTCAAACTTATATTAGGCTTTCTATGATGGAGGGAGTATACAGTAAAGTCAATAATTTCCTAATACAGACTTTCTATTAATTTAGTTTCGCTGTTAAATCTCACTTTCTACCCCAATTAAATAGCAAAATACGAAGATTCATCTAGAGTACGTGTATATCGGGTAGGGATGGTGTGTTGTCTCACAGAATTTAAAATATCTTTTCTTTACAAATATGACTTTTCACAACGTTTTAAGAGGGATTCACTTTTGATAGATCGGGGTGTCATGTTAGTTTGACATTTTCATTATATATATTACCATGTTTAAATAATCTAATTTTATGAGGGGGGGGGGGGGAGGGAGAGAGAGTTGGTCCCATCCCCGCGTAGGACGTGCACGTATGCTTTCCTTGAATTACAATGTCTCACTTATAAAATTAAGGTACACTGACCCTCTGAGAAGAGCGATAATTCTAAATGGAGAAAAAAGTTATTATTCCGTTGTAAAATTCTCATTGTTCGTCTTTGCCCCGCAAGCTATATATAGCTATGATGACATGTTATGTTTTTTTTCCTAAAAATTATATGAGTTATTTAACATGTTTAAAGCAATCTTTTTATGACTGAAAAGATGGAGGATGAACCTGAACACGTTTGAGAGTGGTTTGAACATATTTTATTGTACAAATAATATACAAATGGTTTGAACACAAGTTCTAACAACTTACGAGGTTCTCACCATAAATGGATACAACTGTCAAGGTCTATATATAGAGAAAAAAAAAAATATTGATATATACAAACATATTTGTTTTAAACATACATTCATTACATGATAAATATATAACTAACTAGAGTTTTAGTGTAAGGCTGTAATAATTAATTGAATCTTCCAGAATCTCTTATAAATTTTTGTACAGATTGAAAAATATATTTATTGATTTCAACATTTTGTGACTCATCTCCCCACAGAAGTAGGTGACAATCAATAATATTCAATTTAGTGTTTGGTTTAATAAGACACAGTAGGTTTCTAAATAGTTCCTCTCTAGCATGTTGATATTTGTTACATACAAAGAAGAAATGATATGGGTCTTCTGGTGTACCACATGAACAATTAGGACTCTCAATAATGTTTCTTTTATAAAGATCATAATTTAAAATACAGTTGTGTCGTAGTTTAGTATGTATGATACTAAGTCGTCTGTTACCATAATAGAAATAAGGAGGGGGTCTGCTGGTTTTTTATGTATTTTGTTTTTGAAACTACTAAAAGTTGAGCTGTTTCTTGTGGTAATACTTAAACTATTCCATTGGTTTACTGTATCAGGAACAAAGGATTTCTTAAATATTTCGAGTCTGCATCTAGGAATAGTGTAGTCATCTCGATTACGTGTGTTGTAATTTGATTCAACACTCCTTACTGAGGGAAAAATACTTTTTAAATAATCAGGTACCAAACTGTGATGTACTTTAAACATGGTATTTAGTTTTCCTACTTTACGCCTCTCTGCGAGAGGTTCCCATCCTGTTTCTAAATATAATGCATCTCTTGAGGCTATAATGGGTAACCCTGTAATTATTCTCGCAGCATAAAGCTGCACCTTTTCTAATTTTTCAACGTCTTGTTGAGAGCATCCATCCCAAACTATAGAACAATATTCAAGTAGTGGTCTAATAAAAGTTATGTACATTTTAGCTAGTGTGTTTCTACCAATGTTGTATTTTAGCTTTTTTAGGAGGCCTAATCTTTGGTAAGCCTGTTTAACTATATTGTCTATATGTTCAGACCAATTGAGATTTTGGCTCAATAGTAGTCCTAGATGTTTATGAGAGGTTATGTATTCTAATTTATATCGTTGAAATTGTAGTTTAGGAAGATAATAATTAGATCTTAATGTAAAGAATAATGCTTTTGTTTTGGATGGGTTGAATTTCATAAGCCATTTGGAAGACCACCTATCAAGAATTTCTAAATCATGATTCAAGATATATTCAATAGTTGCAACATTATATGAGGAACATTGCAACGAGTTGTCATCTGCAAACAATCTACATAATGAAATCATGTTTTCTGACACATCATTCACATAAATCAAAAAAAGTAAAGGACCAAGAACTGATCCTTGTGGTACACCAGCATTAATGTTTCTACTAGACGAAAAAATATCTTTATACATAACTTTCTGCCTTCTATTACATAAGTAACTCTCAAGCCAGGTAAGAATGTTACCACATAAACCGTATGTCTTTAATTTAAAAAGTAAACCTTTATGCCAAACTCTGTCGAACGCTTCGGACAGATCGCAAAATACCATGCAACAAAATTTTCCTTCATCGATATTCTTAACAATGCTTTGATAAGTTTCAAGTAATTGGTAAACAGTTGAGTGACCTGGCAAAAAACCTGCTTGAAATTTGTAAAATAAGTTATTTTGATGAAAGTAATTGTACACATGTTTAAATATAATTCTTTCCATAATTTTGCTAACGCAACTCAACAATGATACCGGTCTATAATTAGTTGCTACAGAAGGATCATCTTTTTTAAACAATGGTAATGTCATGTTGTAAATTTTGAATTTACCGGGTGGCAGTAAATACAAAATTTACAACATGACACAGTAATTAATATATCACTCAGTGTATCATTGCATAAGTAATACAGTTCAGGTAATTGGTTTTGTGAGTCTTCCACATTAGATATAGAAGAAAAATACTTATTTAACACATCAATCTTATCTTCATCTGAGAAAGCTATATTTTCATCTCCGCTATCAGAAATGTATTGTATAGGTGGGATATCTTTATTTGGTTTTACATGAAAAGCATCTCTCAGCAGCTTCCAGTATAATTCAGTATTGTTAACACTCGCATCAGACAGCTGAAGGTCAATATTGTCATAATAATTCGATAACGCTTATTTTTTCATGTTGTTAACTTGATTTCTGAGTTTTCGATATTTAGCCCTATCAGCTTCATTTTTCGTTTTTCTTGCTATTTTATGTAGTCTGTTGCGTATTATTATATGTTTTCTAAGAACCGAGTCAAACCACGGTTTGTCCTTAGGACGAATAGTGACCGACTTTTCTGGAACACATTTTCGTACAGACGATAAGAAATGAGTAGTAAAGTTTTCCGTTGCAGTGTCGACATCTTGGGCGTTGTTTATTAAATTGTCCCAATCGCAGTCGTTAATTAAGGAATTAAGTTTCTCGAAATCCGCTTCTTTATACAGCCATACATTGCGCTTGTACGCATGATTAATTTTGTAGTTCAAGGTAAGACACACTTAAGTTGCTCTATGGTCGCTAAGATTCGCGCTTACATTTAAAGTTCCCGACTCTGTTACGTCTACGCTTTGCGTAGTAAATATTGGGTCAATAAGTGTTCGAGAAGAATTCGTGATTCTCGTTGGCTCGCTGATTCTGTTGATAAGATTACAATTGGATATTATATCATATATGATGTGTGTGTGAGGAGTGCTTAGAAGATCAACATTTATATCGCCAACAATTATGATTTTGTCAGAAAGCTCACCTATTTTGTCTAAAGACCACGAAAAGTTTCTCCAAAAAGTGGAATCTGCGTTCGGAGGACGGTAAACACAACATAAGAAAAGTTGAGAGGTAGGATTATCAATTTCTAACAAGATAGCTTCAATATTGACAGGTTCAAGATCCATTCGTCTGTGAGCTCGAATATTGTTACTTGTGTAAATAACGACTCCGCCTCCGAAAGAGTTTCGATCTTTGCGAAAAATACAATTAAAACCGTCTAAATAAATATCACTATTCAAAATGTTGTCGTCGAGATGCGTTTCGGTAAAGCACACAATATCAAATTCATTTACTATGGCTTTAAGTGGGTCAATTTTGTTCCTGAGACTTCTAATATTTAGGTGTAAAATGTCAAGGACATTGTCATAAATAGGGCCTGGATTTGTTTCTATATCACCAGATATTAACAAAATAAAAGCAAAAAATTGCATGAAAAAAGTTATGTGTATAGGCAAAATTTTACCAACATAAAAACTTTTCAAAAGACATTTTCGAGTCACTTGTTGGAATAAGTTCAAAATATCACGCAGTGTAAGAAAAACAAACATTGACGAGCAAGTTACACACCTACACACAAAGTAAAAAGTTCCAATTGCGGCTCTATATTGCTCTATGCTGTTACCCATTGTCTATAATGTCAGGTCTAAGGACATTGAATTTGCCGCAAAACGGAAAATTATGTAAAAAATGTACACGATATGCATAAGGTCTAAGAGTTGGTTTTGTTTGTTTGTAATAACTGTGTTGACAGTTGTAGATATATAAAACTGTGGATGTTTTAAAAACAGAAAATTGGAAACAAATAAACAGCATTTCACATACAAACAGAAAAAATATGAACAAAAACAAAAGAAAATCTACAATACAAATTTGTTTGGGAAGCGACTCATCTACAAGTGAGTTCCCAAACAATACATGACAATATATCAGGATATAAGACAACGTAATGACATGCAACATTCAAAACTGATATAATTATGTACAAGGGTCCGTAATAAGTGAATTATATACTATAAATTAACTGGGATTGATTTAGCTATATCTGTGAATTGCCCACGTATATCTGTAATTGCACTGATGAAATGTTTAATTTTGTGATAAAGCGGGTTGATGGTTGATACATATCTAGGAATTGGCTGTATCGGCGGCTCTTGTGCTGTCCACCGGTTCGTCTTTATTATTTTTTACAACGTCGGAGAACGAGTTACGTTTGGTTTGATCACTGATAGCTGGTTCGCTTGTTTCGTCCGTGTCTGTTTCACAGTCACTGTTCACTTGTTCGTTAGTGTTAAGTGCGTCTAGGTCATCTTGTGACCTAATAGTCACTCTT